TGTTCTTCTTGGTCTTGAATAATCTCTTTATTTTTTCTTAATTTATAATCAGGGCATTGTGTTAGCGTAAACCAATAATGATAAAGGAGTAGTATGGTACCGCATAACATTTGCAGGCTAGGCTAGTAAATCTGATAAATTCATTTTCTTGCTGAGAATTAATAAGTTCATTAAATTATTGAATCTTTGATTTTGTAGTTGGACTTTTTTCATTTTTAATCTCTGGAAAATAAGTTTTAAAACCTTATAGTGAAGAATGGTAGGTCTCCATGTGAATGATGCCACCCATCTACTTTTTTTTTTTTTTAAGACAGAGTCTCACTTTGTTGCCCAGGCTAGAGAGTGAGTGCCGTGGCGTCAGCCTAGCTCACAGCGACCTCAAACTCCTGGGCTCAGGTGATCCTTCTGCCTCAGCCTCCTGAGTAGCTGGGACTACAGGCATGCGCCACCATGCCCGGCTAATTTTTTCTATATATATTAGTTGGCCAATTAATTTGTTTCTATTTATAGTAGAGACAGGTCTCGCTCTTGCTCAGGCTGGTTTCGAACTCCTGACCTGGAGCAATCTGCCCGCCTCGGCCTCCCAGAGAGAGCTAGGATTACAGGCGTGAGCCACCACGCCCGGCCTAAAATTGCATTTTAAAAATCATGCTTAGATGGTAAAATGTCCATTTTATTTTTTTGAGACAGAGTCTTGCTTTGTTGCCCAGGCTCCTCCTGAGTCCTGGGACTACAGGCATGTGCCACCATGCCCGGCTAATTTTTTCTATATATATTAGTTGGCCAATTTCTTTCTATTTATAGTAGAGACGGGGTCTCGCTTTTGCTCAGGCTGGTTTCGAACTCCTGACCTCGGCCTCCCAGAGTGCTAGGATTACAGGCGTGAGCCACTGCGCCCGGCCCCCATCTACTTGTGATTCCCCTTGTACCCCATCCTTGAATGAGGTTTAATTTGAGGATGCTTGTTCCGTGACTAAAAACAGAAGTGCAAATACCACAGGTGTAGGGCAACACTCTTATTTTACAGAGACATTTTCGGCCCACTGCACTTAGACCACTCACTGTGCATGGTGTACTACGGTGAAGGTTCCAGACTCCCGGTTCCGTGCTGTTTTCCCACCGGCCCTCATGTTCCACTGCAGGGTGCTAACCAGGACACACTGTAATGTGAGTCTTGATGGTGGATTTACTTTGATATTCGGATGAACTGTTTTTACCACTTTGCCAGAATTCTGGTGTGTGCTTGTCAGCACGCATTCTGATTCATGCCTTGAGATTATGGGTAAGAGGCCAGTCTTAAAGTGTCTGCCAAAGAAGCCAATTTAATAAGTCTTTGATAGTCCAGGTGAACAATGAATTTATTCATCTCACCTAGACACTTACTTGTATCACAAACCTTCCATTTGGTCCCTCTGAAGGAAAATAACTTCAGCACTCCCACTGCACCCCCAGGACTCAAATATGTACTGATCCAGTATCTCTTTTAAAAAATTTGGTAACTGGGCTATTCCAAATATGTTGCCTTATAGTGCTCTTTTCCTCTTTTCTCTCTATGTGTGTGTGTGTTTTAATACTGGATTTCTTTATTAAAATATGCACATTATAGTTAAATACAATTTTTTTAAAAAGTCAGATTTCTTCTAAAAATGTGAATCTACGTGTGTGTGTGTTTTTTTTTTCCATGCTAATCTGTTTTGTTCCAATTTTAGTATGTGCTGAAGCAAGCACAACATGGATGTTGTTTTTTAAGGGTATATTTTTTGATGTTCTAACATACCCAGATAACAAAATAGAAGCTTCTTTCTTACATAATATGGCCCCCTTTCCTTCATTCTTAGAGTATTGATTCTTTCTAAAGTGGTTCCTGTGGGGGGTGGGAAGGAAGTGAGGGGAGGGCCTACTTCCACTTATCTCGTTGGCCCAAACTGGTCTCATCTACCTGCAAGAGAGGCTGGGAAATGTTGCCTTAATTTAGTTGGTTGTGTGCCCAGCTTAAAACCAGTGATTTTATTAGTTGAATTATTAATTGAGAGGTAAGGACCCTTGGAGATGCCGGGTGGTCTCTGACACCTTTGTTAATTTTTGTAATATAGAAGTTGCCACAATCAATAATCAAAGCAAGTTAGATAGAAAATAAAAATGTGTTTTGTCTACATTTCTGTATGTTTGAAATTTTCCAAAATAGGTTTTTAAAAACAAATTTATATTTTATGACCAATTAAATCCTACAACGCTAGAGGGTGCTGTTAGCTAATTTGCTTTTAGAATTTACAGACTCCCTCATGTCCATTGTCTTTATTACAAAATCAGGGAAGTTTTTGGCCAGATGATCATAAATCTCTTTTGTTTTCCTCAGTTTCACATCAGTAGGGGCACTGCAAATGTCAGTATCTAACATTTATTTGGAAAGGCAGAAGTGGGTAATCACTACCAAGTGTGGAATTTTTTTTAAAAAACCATAATTTAGACTTTGTCTATAAAAGGAAAATATAAATGAGAGATTAGTCAAATTAGATATTTTCAGACACATAATTATTTCTGAAGAATTAAACTTTTCCTCTGTACTTGTCCAAGTTTAACATTTTAGTTGTTTTGCCTTATTTTTTCCCCTGAATTTACTCATCATACATAGGTACTAAGAATTGAGCTATTGCTCATTTTTCCCCCTGATATAATGGAAGGGGCATAAATTTAGACAGTACAGATAAACAATTAAATGCCTACAATCTCACTTTATAGAGATTACCACCATAAACTGCTTGGTGCATAGCTGTTTATATAATTGCACACGCGTATATTCAACACTTTAAAAAAGTTTAAATGAGGCCAGGTGTGGTGGGTCATACCTGTAATCCCAGCACTTTGGGAGGCTGAGGTGGGAGGATCACTTGAGGCCAGGAGTTTGTGACCACCCTGGGCAACATAGTGAGATCCCATCTTTAAAAAAATATATAAATAAATTAGCTGGACCCAGTGGTGCACACCCACAATCCTAGCTGCTGGGGAGGCTGAGGCGGGTAGATCACTGGAGCCCAGAAATTTGAGGTTCCGGTGAGCTATGATTTTGCCACTGTACTCCAGCCTAGGGACAGTCTCTTAGGGAAAAAAACAAAAACAAACACCAAAAATAGGGAGGAGTCATGTGAGTTAGTGCTAGTATATGGGGAGTTTTTTATATGTTTATTTTATAACTTGCTACCTTTGTTAAGTATCTTATTCTTGTGAAGTATCTTATTCTGGTGTTTTTTGTTTTTTTTTCCCAAACTCGTTATTCTGGATAGACAGACCCATTACTGTAAATAGTTCTTTTACCTTCCATTTTCCATTAATTGAACTTTCAAACTCTTTCTCATTGAATTGGTTAGGACTTCCATCTAGAGCAGTCTTCTATAATAGTGCCCATCAGGTGCCTTTCTGTTTCTGGCTTAATGGGCACCCCTCAGGGTTTTTCAGATTAAGTATCTCATTGGCTTTTGGTGTAAGATAGGGATTCTTTTTGAAGACATATTTCCTTTTGTGTCTAATGTGTTTTATTAAATGCCTTTTTGGTTTCTTTTAACCTTAGGGTTTTTCTTCCATCTACCTGTTGATGTGAATTGTAATACTAGCTTTTATCTTTTTCTTGTGCTTTGTCAGGTTTGGTGTCAGGGTTATGCTGCATTTCTAAAATGATTGACAAGCTCTCCTCATCCTTTTGCAGTGCTTTGGAGCATGGAGAGTGACTCTATGTCGATGTGTTGAGACATTAGCCTGCAAAGCCACCTGGGCCTAGTGCCTATTCGAGTGGAAGGTCTTTGTTATCCTCAGCCTCTGGAGGCTTAAGAGCCCTTTTGGATATATTCATCAAATTTATCAATTCTGTTGGTCATTTTATAGATATTAATAATTTCTCTCCTTTAATTTCTTTTAACTTTCTTAGTACATTTTGTTGATATATATATATATATATATTTTTTTTTTTTTTTTTGAGACAGAGTCTCGCTTTGTTGCCCAGGCTAGAGTGAGTGCTGGGGCGTCAGCCTAGCTCACAGCAACCTCAAACAATCCTGCTGCTCAAGCAATCCTGCTGCCTCAGCCTCTCGAGTAGCTGGGACTACAGGCATGTGCCACCATGCCCGGCTAATTTTTTCTATATATATTAGTTGGCCAATTAATTTCTTTCTATTTATAGTAGAGGTAGGGTCTTGCTCTTGCTCAGGCTGGTTTCTAACTCCTAACCTCAAGCAATCCACCCACCTCGGCCTCCCAGAGTGTTAGGATTACAGGCGTGAGTCACCGTGCCCGGCCTTTTGCTGATATTTTTACAGCGATAATTTCACCATTGATCCAGTGGTTATTTGGGAGATTTAGGATTTTGAAGTTGTTAGACCTTCTATTTTTTTTGTTGTTTGTTTGTTTTTGGAGAAAGGGTCTCTGTTACCCAGGCTGAGCTCACTGCAGCCTGGAACTCCTGGCCTCAAGAGATCCTCCCAGCTTGGCCTCCCAAAGCACTGGTAATACAAACATGAGCCACCACGCCTGGCCTAGACTTTATTTCTTGATAATGATGATTATTTTTAACTTTTTGGCATCGTGGTCAGGTGATAAGAAATATGTATGTTTCTCTTTTGTGGGGTTTGGAATTTTCCTTTGGGGCGTGATAGTTCAGTTTTCACAAATGCTCATTAACTATTGGAAATGAAACTCTTATTTTCTTGCTGTGGTTTGTGTGTGGTGCTGTGTTTTTTGTTTTGTTTTGTTTTTTTGTTTTTTTTGGAGACAGTGTCTCACTCAGTTGCCCAGGCTGCTGCAGTGCAATGGTGCGGTCATAGCTTGCTGTCACCCAGAACTCCTAGGTTCAAGTGGTCCTCCTGCCTCAGCCTATCAAGTAACTTGGACTACAGGCTTGTGCCACCACACCTGGCTGGCTGATTTAAAAAATTTTTTTCTGGGGACAGGGTCTTGCTATGTTGCCTAGGCTGGTCTTACACTCCTGGCCTCAAGTAATCCTCCCACCTCAGCCTCCCAAAGTGCTGGGATTACAGGTATGAGCCACTGGGCCAAACTGAGACTCTTATTTTCTAGAGATGCAAAGCTTCATACCTGTTGTGTTAGCTGTATTTGTTATGTTGGTCAGATTGTATAATCAATACAGTGTACTTTCTGTCTCTGTGGATTTGCTTATTTGGGCTGTGTCACATAAATGGAATCATAGAGCGTGCCTGGCTTCTGTGCTTTTTTGGTTTTTAAGTCCAGTTGAGAAGGATTGAGTTACATCATGGCTTTGCTCTCTGCTTCTCCCTCCACAGTGCTGGGAACCTCCTGTCCTTTCTGTGCTTTTCCTCATCTCGTGGCTTCTCAGGCTGCCCTCCACCTCTGTCCGTTCAGGCTTCTGCTGTGCGGCTTCTCTCATGTGTTTCTCAGTTAATTCTGGCTCGCACAGTTTCCTTACAGGTCTTCCCTACCCAGCTCATTGTTCTTTGGTGTCAGTCCATTTTCTTCATGTAATTGTCTGATCCTGTTTCCTGTTTTTTTGTTTTTTTTAACACCAACTTAAACAAATGATTCTTTCCTTATTCTATCTGTGCTTTTGAAATTTTCTTGTGATTCCTGCAGTAAATCCTCTCTGAGGTTAGAGTCTTCTATTCAGAATGTCCTGAATACACAGCCCTGACTCCCATAGGCACGTTGACCTGACCGGTCGATGTATCACGCGTGGCCCTGAGCTCTGAGCACTTGTGGTGGTGAATCTCCTGCCCTGAATAGTTGAAGCACCTGGCTCCCAACCTTCTCCCCAGTCTCTGTGTTGGTGCTGGGTGTCTTCCTCCTGTCCCCACTGCTGAGTCCCCAGGATTCCCATGAAGGAGGCACCCTTACAGCTGCTTTTCTCCAGGAATTGTCCTGGCTCCTCTTCTGCCTTTATCCCAGGGGCCCCGTTTTCCAAAATGTGTTTTGCACTTCCGAAATGCAGACAGGGAACACAAGGCTCAGACAGCCAGGCAGAAAGGGCACCAGTCTGGTGTTGGGGAGATGGAGGCAGGTATTTGCACACCCTAATGGGCAAGGGTGCCTACTGCCCAGGTTCCTGGCCGGCCCTGGCCTGGAGTCAGGGCTAGGAAGGCTGCGTCTGCCACAGGTGTGTCTGCTTCTCTGTTACTGGCTACTGATTGTCAGTGCATGTGTGCCACCTGTGTGTCTTTGTGGGTACTCGCACTTGTCCAGTGGAGCCTCTGCAGCGGCGACCTGCACCCCGGAGGCCGTGTTGAACTGAACCCCTGCAGTCAGCCCTTCAGTGTGAGTTATTTCTTGGCTTTGCCTGCCATTTAATGAAAAGATCCTACCTTGAGATCTCTGGAATTCTTTGAGCTTTGAAAACAATTGTCTTGGGATCCCTGATTGGGGGAATGAAAAATTACCAGTGAGTAACATTAATCCCCTTTTTCACTGAGCTAGAAGCAGCGTGGGTGGACTTGTTCCTCTGAAGTGCAGGGTTTAGAAAGATAAGTTTTCATTTCCCTTCTTAGTGCAGGTTTGAGAAATATAATCCCGGCAGCTGCTTGGTTTCTACAATAGGATATCCAGCCGGCCATGTGGAAACCTGCTACAGACTGATGTTAAGGAGACCGTAAGGGAGGCATGCAGTAACTGTTTGTAACCAGGTGGTGGCTGTTGTGTAATACAAATAGCATTTCTGATGAGGTGGTACGGTTATACAATTTTGGCCAGCCCGTGTGGGTTATAAAAGCTGAAATTCCTTCGGCACCCAAAAGCGTCTCACTCTGAGCACCAGGACAATCACAGGGTTGCACAGACGCCAGCACATAGCGGTGGGTGGGGCACCGACTAAAGGACATTTTTGTGGATAGGGTGAGGTTTCACTGTGAAGGTAAGACCGTTTCTTGGTACATAAGCTCTGCTTTGGGGAATGAGTTCTGGGGCTGTGCAGATTGGTTAGTGTCTGTGTGTGCATCTGGGCAGACGTGTCTGTTTCCACGTATGTGTGTCAGCCTGCGTGTGTGTCAGCCTGTGTTTGTGTCTGTGACCGTGTATCTGATTTTTCCGCACGCCTACGTCTGTTTCTGCACGTGCCTGTGCCTGTGTCAGCGTAGGTGAGGAGCCCGAGGCTTAAGCTCGCCCAGCTCGGTTATCAGAAGATCTCTAAAGAGTTTCTTGGTGCTGTCAGACATTATTTAAATATTAGTAAACTGAACATTAACCTTTATGTAAGTCTTAGAAAGTGGTGTTCTTTATTAACTATGTGAGAAAGGGTAACAATAAAAACTTGATCCCGGCTGGGCGCGGCGGCTCACGCCTGTAATCCTAGCTCTCTGGGAGGCTGATGCAGGAGGAGCGCTTGAACCCAGGAATTGGAGGTTGCCATGAGCTATGATGACGCCAGCATACTCTACCCAGGGCAACAGAGCAGACTCTGTCTCCAGAAAAACCAAAAAACCTTAATCTGCAGCAATTCAAAGGTCAGATCCTGTGTTTTTCAGATGCTTATTTATTTTATTTTGGGAGCCAAGTCCAGTCCCAGGACTGCCAAAGCTCCGTATATTCTTTTATGTTTTCCTTTATATGGAATTTCACGTGTGTCATGAAAAGGAGGTACATAAGCGAAAAGGAATATAGGTGAGACAAAACATAGGTGAAGCATGGAGAGCCGAAGTCTCTGTCATAGCTGAGTGCATGTATATTTTTAATTCTTTTAAAGTCTTTGGATTATAAAAATGTCAAGTTCAGACACCAGAAAAAAAGCAAGACATCTGTGGCACACAGTTCTAAGTGATTGAAGTCTGTGTATTTAATGGATACATTTTGTATGAATTAAGCTGAACAAGCTCCTTTGTAGGAAAAAAATTCCATATGCAGACATGGATTGTTTAAGGCTCCCATTTATTGAAGGTCGGGGAAAAGCTTTGCTGTCACTCTGACCACAGTGTACTTAAGTGTTGACCTGGGGCAGAACTGCAGTGTCCCAGCCCCAGGTAGTTGCAGTGCAGTTCAGGCAAACCCACTCTTCAGCCAGTGGGGTAATTCATCAGGGCAGGTGAAATTTCAGAGCTCCCTTTTCCTTATCTTGAGAGAGTCTGCAGGGAGGATAGGGCACTCTTGGTAAGCAGGACTAGGGGGCAGCAGGGGTGGGGTGGGGTGGGGTGGGGAGAAAGGGCATATTGCAAATGAGACTCACAAACGAAACATCTCCCAGAGGATAGGAAGAAAGCAGATGGTTGAGAGAACTAAGTGGACGTGCCACAGTCCAGCAAAACTGATCAGGTATAATGAGGTAGTTAGGATATAAGGGTAAAGTGGAGCAAGACCTCTCTCTGCAGGTGTGAGAAGGAAATTTGGCTTAGGCCCTTGGGGCCCGTAGAAAGGATGAGAATATTCCAAAGAGGGATGGTATGGCCTGAAGAGCAGCTCAGAGAGAGGGCTGGTGAGTCCATGGAGCTTGAGGCGAGGGAGTGGAGGGATGCTTGAGATGCTTCTGCCAGCACCAGTGGCTTGTCCCAGTTGGGGCAGTGGGGGCAACAGTGGCTGGAGTGGACCAGGTGTCCTGTGAGGGCTTCCTCTTCAGGAGGCGAGGAGGCAGGAGTCATTGGCTGTGCTGGAAAGGGAGGATGGAGCAGGGGGAGCCTGGTACAGTGGGTCAGGGTCGGCAGGGCTATCTCCTGGACAGCCCCCAAGGTCATTGTTTTCGGAGAGGAGATGGGCATCAAATGACAGAGGGCATCTGGAGACCTGGAAGGGGCAAATGCTTTTTGTCCATTCCCTGACAGTAACTGGGGACTTTCGTGGACTTCCTCCAAATTGACCTTCACACAGAACCTCTCAGGCCTTTTCTTGAGAGTCTCATTCTGTTAGCCTGGAAGGCATTGAGAGCCTTGATGATTGCCAGGCCTGCCACTGTTGCCTTGGGGTTTTGTCCAAGGGTAAATCAATCTCTGTGCCTCAGTTTCTCATCTGTGAAATGGAGATAACAACCCCTTCTGGAACTTTTGTAGTGGTTGAGTGAGATCATGTTTGTGTCTTGGACTTAATAGTCATTTCACTATGTACATGTTTTTATCCTGTTAAAATTCCATATAAAGGGAGCTTTTCAGTGGCTTCTGTGAAGACTCATCAATACTTTTTTTTTTTTTGTGAGACAGAGTCTCACTCTGTTGCTTGTGCTAGAGTGCTGTGGCATCAGCCTAGCTCACAGCAACCTCAAACTCCTGGGCTCAAGCGATCCTGCTGCCTCAGCCTCCTGAGTAGCTGGGACTACAGGCATGCGCCACCATGCCCGGCTAATTTTTTATATATATATTAGTTGGCCAATTAATTTCTTTCTATTTTTAGTAGAGACAAGGTCTTGCTCTTGCTCAAGCTGGCTTCGAACTCCTGACCTTGAGCAATCCGCCCACCTCGGCCTCCCAAATACATTTTAAATGATGTGTAAATGAAAAAAACCATGAGTCCAAAAAGTGATGTGTTAAATCTCACAGTAGACATCAATTTAGTAAAATTCATCTTGAGTTTTGCTTTATTTTCCTCAAATACATGACATTTGTATTTTAATCCTGGCCTGCAGGCTGCACCTTTTGCTGGGCTACTCTCCTTTTCCCCTTTTATGTCCCAGCCACTGGATTTCCCTAAGTGAATCGGGAGGACAGGATGGGATTAGGCTTTGTGTCAGGTTGTATAACTGGCCAATGGAAAAATGTTTAAGTTTTCCCCAAATATTTGAATGTCTTCTATGCACTGAGCACTGGGTCCCTGCCCCCATCCCGTCTTGGTGGAAAGGTGGACCAAGAAGCCGTGTGTCATGGAAACACGGGAGCAGGACAGCAGATCCAGGAGTGTCCCTTGAGCTTAGACTTGGGAACTAGAGGTCAGTGTCGTGTCGTCTGTGTGGGGGCACCTGAGGCTGGGGGGGAATGGCCAGGACAGTGAGGCTTAAGAAGGTGTTGTTACAATTTTATATAAATAAAATTTGGGGAAGAAATTTTGCTGGAAGATAACAGGCACAACAGGCACTGTAGCATCTGTTACCTATAGCGTTAGTTTACCCCCCGCCCCGCAAAAATGGTGATGGCTTTGTATCTTAAAGCCCCCAAACAAAACATCCACCACTCTGATGTCTCACTGTATGCGGACTCCATCTGCTCCCTACCCGAGCCCTCGAGTGAGTCAGTGTCTGTAATCTCGAGAACATGGTCGTCATTTCTCCTGGCTCAGACAGAAATGGATGTCAGCAAAATGGCCCGTCTCAGGTCGGATTGAAGAGCTTTCTTAGGATTTAGAGTTTAGTTTCGGACAAGAGCTGTGCTCTGCACCAGGGCTTCTGGACCAAGTCTCTAGGATAGACTGAAGGGGTTTTCTGCAGGCAGGGCCTGTTCTTTCCTGTCTTCGTTCTGTCAGTTGTGCGTTTCATTTAATGTTCATAGACTGTTTGCTTCCACTTAGGACTGTTCCTCCCCTCGCCCCTCACCCCATGAATGTTCCAGAAAGGTTTGCCTCATTTATCCAGCAGTTTTTCATTCTCTTTGGCTCACTGGGAGGACCCGAGAATCCATTTTTTAGAGGATTCCCAGCTTGTCCAGCAGTGTTTGCTCAGGGGTCCCTCTCTTCATCTTCAGAGCAGGGTTGTTGCCATCAGGCCGCCTTTTGGGCCCTGGGAGTTTGGTCTCTAAGGGGTCATTCCTCCCGGGGCTCTCTACAGAGGGAACCTGGGTTCCCTTTCAGAAATCCAGATTTTATCTAGCTTCTTGCTTAAATTTTCTTCCTAAGAGAACAAGTCCACAAACCAAGACAGTGACAGAGGATAAGACAGCTTGTTGGGGTACGAAGGAGATTCTTATGATTGCAGTCATTGGGGGTAGTCTGGTTTAGGGCTCTGGTAGATTGTAACTAATTTTTTTTTCTTTTTTTTTTTTATTTCGGCATATTATGGGGGTATAGATTTTAAGGTTTCAATAAATGCCCTTTCCCCCCTCCCCCCACAAGTCTGATTCTCCAGCATGACCATCCCTCAGATGGTGCACATCTCACTCATTATGTATGTATATGCCTGTCCCCGTCACCCTCCCCCCTCCCCAATTTTTTTTTTTTTTTGAGACAGTCTCACTCTATTGCCTGGGCTAGAGTGCTGTGGTGTCAGCCTGGCTCACAGCAGCCTCAGACTCCTGGGCTCAAGCGATCCTCCTGTCTCAGCCTCTTGGGTCTCGATGGATCCTCCTGTCTCAGCCTCTTGAATAGTAGCTGGGACCACAGGCATGTGCCACCATGCCCAGCTAATTTTTTCTATTTTTTTAGTTGCCTGGCTAATTTCTTTTCTTTTTGAAGAGATGGGGTCTTGCTCTTGCTGAGGCTGGTCTTGAGCTCCTGACCTTGGGCGATCCTCCCACCTCAGACTCCCAGAGTGCTAATTACAGGCGTGAGCCACTGCGCCCAGGCTATTGTAACTTATTATAAAGAAAGACTACTCTGCTGTGGTCCTGGGCACTCTCTCCATCACTGTGGAGGGGCGATGTTATATTTTGTCATCAGTGCCATCATCTCGTACCACTTTCTCACTTTGGCAAGTTATTTCTATGTGTATATTAAGCTCAGCAAATAACCTGATTTAATTCAGGCCCTTGGAACATGCCTTTCATGTCCCTGCACAGAGCTTTAGTTACATCAGTGACTTTCAGGCTCCTTTTTGACTGACCCACAGTACTAAGCATTTTTCCTGAACAGTCTGGGTTACTCTTATCTTGTTAGGTATGTTCTGAAGTTTGCACAGTGGCTCATGTCTTTAATCCCAGCATTTTAGGAGGCTGAGGAAAGAGGATTGCTTGAGTTCAGGAGTTTGAGACTAGCCTGAGCAACATAGCGATGCCCCATCTCTACAGAAACTAG